CTTGATTGATTATCTGCATTTGCAAAAGTCTGGATTTCATATTAAGATACTTGCAAGGTCCCTGGCAGGTAGTGGGGGCTGTTGGTAAATATTGTGCTTGACTACTAACCTAATGTTTAGGTTTTCTAACCCATGCCATTGCACCATAGCAGAATGACCTCATAATTTGTGACCATAGAGAATACAGCCAAGAAAACTCTTTGGGGCACCTTTATAATCTGTAACATGTGGGGCCACCATGCATCCAAATTGACTAGAAGGCAATGCTTTTGTTTTTGTCCTTTCCAGTTTACAAGTCAGAAGGGAGGAGTGGTGCAGTGGTGATTCCTCCTGGGATGAGGAAGAACACTGAGCCTTCCAGGACCTTTGCATCTCCTTCCTCATTTGTTCATTTAATACGCCCTGAGAGACTGGTGTTACATAGATCACGTAGACTAATTATGAGCTCTGTGAGTTGCGTTCTTAAAGCATTACCACAATACATTATGAATCTGTGTCCCCAGACCTTAAGAGTGTCCATCCAAGTCCAGCAGGCTACACATGTGCCCTTTTTCCTCCCAGACCCTTCATCCACATCAGAATACTAACACCTGGCTCTGTCTTTCTGATGGCCCTGAGGAATTTCACTGACCTCTCATTGCCTGCCAAGCAGAGGAGAAACAATGGATCCAAACATTTTGGCTGTACCCCAGTGGAGACAGCATGCATCTCAGTAAGTACAGAGGAACACAGGTATGTGGGAGTATTGGTTTTTACCACGAGGATCAACAGAATAGTCAGGATAGCAAGAAAGGAGTGTTCAGAATTAAAAGTGTCATCTAAGAAGTGTATGAAGTTTAAATTCTTTGTACTGGATGGCTGTAAGGACTCTCTGCTCTAGCGTTGTATCCTGTATCTAGCATTCAAATGGACCATCCTACCAGACTAGAAAAATGTATCTCTCTAAACTGTCACCAAGCATCTCTAGGTAGTACAAAAGGTTAATGTTCTATACTGTTAACAGAAACTTCAAGGTTCAAGTCCACTCAGACTCACCTTGGAAGAAAGTCCAGGAGATCTACCTCCAGGAAATCAGCTACCAAACCCTACTGAGCGCTGCTCTACTTTGATGCACCAGGATCTCCATGAGTCACAGTCAGCTGATCAGTGGCTAGGGTTTTTCATTTTCATTGTGTGTGCCTGTTTCGTCAACCGTCCCATAAAACCAAAGCAACAACTGCAACTAAGAACAGTTTAGAGTTTCTAGTGGAATCCATTCTGACTCATGACTACCCCATATTGTACAGACATGTGTTCCTAGCGTTTCCTGGCAGTGGCCTTAAAAAAAAAATCATTTATTCTGAAAACCACTGGGTAGATTAGAACAGGCAACCTCAAATAACTGCTTACACAACCCAGGGACCTACTGAAGATGACTCATTCACTGCCACGGAGTCCGTGCTGAGTCATAGCGACCCTGTAGGACAGGGTAGAACTGACTCTGGGTTTCAGAGGCTGTACAACCGTAGTCAGCTTTGTCTTTCTTCCATGGAGCAGCTGGTGGTTTCAAATTGATGGCCTTCCATTTTTCAGTCCAACTTGTAACCACTTCACCACCAGAGCTCCTCACTGATGATGGCAGTAGACAAAATACTGCCAAATATTATTGAGTGTTTCTTAGTGATGGGTCTGAGATTTGCGGGTTTTTGTTCCCTTTGTTTTTCACTTTATCTGTACCTTCCTATTCAAGATATCCATGTGTAGATTATTGATACTTTACAGATGAGGAATCTAGTTAAGCCACATTTTGGTGTCATTAGGAATGAGGCCAGGTTTGAAACTACTCAGGTGCGCACCATGCTGCTACTTTCAGATACACACCTGGGGATGGAATTGCTAGATAGTATGGTAGTTCTATGTTTATGTTTTTCAGGGATCCCCCAAATGTTTTCTAAAGTGGTTGAACCATTTTGCCTTCCAAATAATAATGGGTAAGGGTTCTTCATGCTCCTGCTAACGTTTTCTTTTCTTTTCTTTTTAAGAAAAGGCTGAGCCATTCTTTTTAGGGTGCATTGATGTGTCACCGTGGTTTTGATTCCCATCTTACTAATGGCGAATGAAATGAGCCCTGGTGGCATAGTGGTTAATGCATTGGGCTGCTATCTGCAAGGTCAGCAGATCTACTGTACCAATTGATCAAGGGAGAAAGATGAGGTATTCAACACCCTAAATATTTACAGCATAGGAAGCTCACAAGGTCAGTTCCATTCTGTCCTAAAGAACTTTATGATTTGCAACCAAATCGGTGACACTGGGGTGTTTTCATTTTTTAGTGGCCATTAATATTCAGCATCTTTTCAAATGCTTATTGGACATTTGTATATCCTCTACAGTGATATGTCTACTTGTGGGGAACAGAAGGATTTCTCTTAAGTTGTCTCCCCAAAATATGTACCAAACTTAGTTGCTTTAGCGTGACTGTTCTTTAGGCAGCGAAAGTAGGTCAGAGGTTATTCTCCTTAACATTGGCCATCTGTAGTGGCTAGACTATTAGTCTGACTCACCCTGAATAAGA